CGCATTACATAATGATAAAAAGATCAATTCAACATGAAGATATAACATTTATAAATATTTATGTACCAAACACACGAGTATCTAAATATAATATAAAGTAAATATCAACAGATCTAAAGGGAGGAATAGAAAGCAATACAATAATAGTACCAGACTTCAATACCTCATTTACATCAATGGGCAGGTAATCCAGACAGAAAATCATCAAAGAAACATCAGCCTTAAATGGCACCTTAGACAAGATGGACTTAACAGATATTCGTAGAACATTCCATCCAAAAGCAACAGAATATACATTCTTCTCACGTGCACGTGGAACATTTTCCAAGATAGGACATATGTTAGACCACAAAACAAGTCTTAATAAATTTAAGAGGCTTGAAATCATATCAAACATCTTTTCTGACCACAATGGTATGAAACTAGAAACACAAAGAAAACTGGAAAATTCACAAATATATGGAGATTAAACAACATACTGCTGAACAAGCAATGGGTCAAAGAAAAAATCAAAAGAGAAATATAAAATACCTCAAGACAAATGAATTGGAAATATAACAGATCAAAATTTATGGGATGCAGGAAAAGCAGTTCTAAGCAGGAAGTTCATAGCTATAATGCCTACCTCAAGAAGCAAAAAAAGTCTGAAAGAAACAACCTAACTTTACACCCCAAAAAACTAGAAAAATAAAAACAAACAAAATGCAAAGTTAGTAATAGGAAGCTATGCACTGATGCCAGCGCCTAGTCCACACTTCAAAGCAATTTTGGAACTCTTTCTGGAATGGCCGTCAGAGCTGTCATTGTATTGCCCTTGATGTCCTGAATGTCATCAAAATGTCTTCCTTTTGATATTTCCTTTATCTTCAGGTAAACAATGAAGTCATTGGGGGCCAGATCAGGTGAGTAGGTATTGTGTTCCAATACAGTTATTTATTTGTTTACTGGCTAAAAACTCCCTCACAGACAGTGCCCTGTGACCTGGTGCATTGTTGTGATGCAAGGGCCATGAATTGCTGGCAAAAAGTTCAGGTCACCTAACTTTTTCATGCATCGTTTCAGCACTTTCAAATAGTAAACTTGGTTCACTGTTTCTTTAGTTGGTACAAATTCATAATGAATAATCCCTCTGATATCAAAAAAGGTTAACAACATCATTGCACCAAGTTCGCGAACTTATTGTCAGACTTTGTAGATCACAAGCGCATGACTAACATTATATTCAATAGTGAAAATTTGAAAGCGTTTCCTCTAAGATCAGGAATAAGACAAGGAATGCCCACTCTTGCCACTTTTTTTCAACATAGTATTAGAAGTCCTAGCTATAGCAATTAGGCAATAAAAAGAAATAAAAGGCATTTAAATTGAAAAGGAAGAAGTGAAACTATCATTATCTGCAGATGACAGGATATTATAGATAGGAAACCTTATATATAAAGACTCCTTCAAAATACTGTTAGAATGAATAAATGAATTCAGTAAAGTTGAGGATACAAAATCAATACTCAAAAATCTCTTGTGTTTCTATACACTAATAACAAACTATCAAAAGGAGAAATTAATAAAACAATTTCATTTACAATCGCACCAAAAAGAATAAAATACCTAGGAATAGATTTAACCAAGAACGTGAAAGACCTGTATATTGAAAACTACATGAAATTAAAGAATGAGATTGAAGAAGACATAAATAAATAGAAATATATTCTGTGTTTGTGGATTGGAAGAATTAATATTGCTAACATGTTCATACTACCCAAAACAATCTAGAGATTTAATGCAATTCCTAACTAAATTCCACTCGTATTTTTTACAGAACTAGAACAAAGAATCCTAAAATTTGTATGAAACCATAAATGACCCTGAGAGGGCAAAGTAATCTCGAAGAAGAACAACTTTGGAAGTACCACACTTTCTGATTCCAAACTATATTACAAAGCTATAATAGTCAAAACAATATGGTATTGATATAAAACAGACACATGGATCAGTAGAACCGAATAGAAAGCTCAGGGCCAGCCAAGTGGCTCATTGGTTAAGAGTTGGCTTGGGAGCGTGAGCTCTGAGCAGCAAGGCTGCTGGTTCAGATCCAACATGGGCCAGTGATGCTACGCCCTCTACAACTAAGATGGTGACAACAGCTCAACCTAGAGCTGGGCTGCCGTGAGTCGCCGGCGATGGCGTAGGCTGCAGTAGGGCTGCAGTGGGCTGCCGTAAGCTACCGTGAGTGGCCGGCAGCCAGCATGAGCAGTCGTGAGCCGCTGTGAGCTGCCGTGAGCCGCCGTGAGCTGCCTTCCAATGGCCAGCAACTGATCTGTCTCATCTGGAAGAGCACAATGATCACAATACCAACATGGGCCTGTGAAGCAACGTCCTCCACAACTAGACTGAAGAACAAAAGGACAGCAACTTGTCTGTTCCCCTTCCCGGATTCCCCAATAAAAACTTAAAAAAAAAAAAAAAAGAATAGAAAGCCCAGAAATAAACCCATGCCTATATAGTCAATTAATTTACAACAAAGGAGCTAAGAATATACAATAGGGAAAGGACAGTCTTTTCAATAAATGGTGTTGGCAAAATTGGACAGCCACATGCAAAAGAATGAAACTGACCATTATCTTACAACACACACAAAAGTTAACTCAAAATGGATTAAAGACTTGAATATGAGACCTGAGACCATAAAACTCCTAGAAAACAGATAGGCAGTAAGTTCCTTGATATAGGCCTTGGCGATAATTTTTAGAATCTGACATCAAAAGCAAAAGCAACAAAGCAAAAATAAATAAGTGGGACTATATCAAATTAAAAAGCTTCTGCACATCAACAAGATAACAAGGCAACCTACTGATAAGGGGCTAACATATATAAAATATATAAAAAGCTCATAGAAATCAATAGCAAAAAATAAACAATGTGATTAAAAAAAACGGTCATATCTGAATAGACAGTTTTCCAAAGAAGACATATAAATGGCCAACAGGTACATGAAAAAATACTCTACATCATTCATCACCAGGGAAATGCAAATCAAAACCACAATGAGATATCATTTCATACCTGTTGGAATGGCTATAATAAAAAAGACAAGAAATAAGTGTTGGTGAGGATGTAAAGAAAAGGGGACCTTTGTGTACTGTTGGTGGGAATGCAAATTGGTGCAGCCACTCTGGAAAACAGTATGGAGGTTCCTCAAAAAATTAAGAATAGAACTACCATATGATCCAGCAATTCCACTTCTGGGTATTCATCCAAAGAAAGCAAAAACACTAACTGGAAAAGATATACACACCGTCATGTTCATTGCAGCATTATTTACGATAGCCAAGAAATGGAAATAACCTGTGTCCATTGGTCGATGAATGGATAAAGACATTGTGGTATATATCTATATTTATATATTTATATATCTATATATAGATACACACACACTCACAATGGAATATTATTCAGCCATAAAAAGAATGAAATCTTGCAATTTGTGACAACATGGATGGACATCGAAGGTATTATGCTAAGTGAAATAAGTCAGACAGAGAAAGATAAATTCTGTATGATCTCTCTTATATGTGGAATCTATAAATGAATGAATGAATGAATGAATACCAAGCTCATAGACATAGAGAACAGACTGGTGGATGCCAGAGGTGAGGGCTGTAGATATCAGGAGAGTATCCCAGGCAGAAAGAACAACTAAGGCAAAGTCTCTAAGGCAGTGCTGTGCATGCCTGAGGGAGGGAGCCAGGAGTGCTCTATAGGGAGTATCTCATCCAATCCCCATGACCCTTACTGAGTCCATTTCACGGATGAGGAAACAGCTCTGAGAGGGGAGTCTTTCGCACAGGCCACACAGCTGTGAGTAGCAGAGCTTGGATTCGCTCAGGAGTCTAGTTACATAGCTAGCTTCCCTTTCAAGTCCCCAACAACAGGCCAGGCCTCAGGAAGGCAGGTAGAGACTGAAGCCTTCTCAACCCTGGAGGTCCTGCCCAGATCTCCACCTCCTCGGAGGCCCAAGCATCTGGCTTCCAGGTGGCCTCTGTTCTCCTGGTTGTTGAGGGCTGCACAGGCATTTGCAGTAGGGCAGGTCAGGCTCGCCGATGAGATGGCTGGAGGAGCCAGGACAGGACTCCTCATCCGCCTATCCTTCCAGATGGCCGACCACGGCCAACCTTCTCAAAGCCCCGGGAGAAACACTGAGGCTCGCAGAGGTGAGAAGACTTACCTGAAGCCACGCTGGTGTCCATGGAGTCATCCTAGAAACCCATAATCTTCAGACCAAACTTTTCTTTGGACTTGGCCTGGGCCCCAAAAGAGGGAGTGTCTCTTTAACTCATGTGCTCTGGGCACCTCATTGGATTCATTTAATCTGGGACCTGTAAAGGAAAGAAACAGAGGGACAGTCACTCTAACTGTTCACCCACACCTACCACGCTGGGCTCCGGGGACCAAGAGAACACCTCTCTTGGGCCGTGCACCCCACTGTCCCACTGAGAAAGAAGAGCAGGTAAAAAGGTGGTTGGGGGGGGGGGGCGTGGAGCTCGTCAAAGGCTTCCTTTCAGCCTTGAGGTGGCGCCCTTGAGTCACGGAGACGCACGCATCTGTGAAGACTGCTGGCACTTAAGGACCTGGGTCCTACCTGAGGGCCGTGTGTGTGCGGGGGAGGAGTGGGGAGGCGGGAAGAAGCGGGCTGGGGAGGGAAGGGAGCGTTTGAGTTGGCGCAGTCAGGACTCCCCAGCGGTGGGAGAGACAGGCGGCGGGGAGGGGTCTTCTTCAGCACCCACCCCTACGCCCCGCCCCTGCGCCGGGGCACCTCGCGCTCAAAGCTTCAGTTCCCTAAGCCCGATGATAAACCCTAAGGGGAAGAGGAGCAGGATGGAGCTGTGTCCCTCCACCCGTACCCCAGGCAGATACCCGCCTCCCCGTACCTCCCCGCGCTAACTCTCCGGGCGCCCTCGCCGGCCGCGGGCGGAGCTGGAACCGCTGCACTCCGCGATCCCCGGCTCCCGCCCCTTCCCTTGTCCCTCCTCCCCGGAGACCCCCGGCTGCCGCGGCCACCGGCGTGCAGCCCTGCGCGGCGCGAGCAGGTACGTGCACCTCGGCGGTGGCTCCGCGCGGGGCTCGGAAGGGGGCGGGAGCTGGAGAGGGCGAGAAGGTGGCGGCCGGGCCCGCGCTCTCCCGGGCTGCGCCGCAGCGTATACACCGGCGGGCGGGCGCCGGCTGCAGGGAGGGGGGTGGGTGCCCTCGCTGTCGCCCGCCGGCCGCCCGGCGCCTCACCGCCCTCGTGGGGAGGCCCCGCACAGGTACGCACGCGGAGAGGAGACTGCGGGGACGACGGGAGGCTGAGGCCCGAGGCGGGGAGGGGCGGCGACAGAGAACTAGCCTGACCTCGCGGCCCGGCCGAAGGACATACGGGGAGGGGACCCGGGCGCACGCCGGTCCTCGCAGAGCCTGGCCTCCCTGGGCCGCCTCGCCACCCTACTACCGGTGCCGCGGGGCTCGGCCTGGCCTGGCCCGGCCGCGTTTATGGTCAAGGGCAAGAGCAGGGGGTGTGAGCTGCAGGCAGGCGGGCGCGCGGGTGCGGCGGGCAGCCCCGCGCCGGCGCTGGCGAGGAACTTTGGGTATAACAGCGTGGACCTGCGTGTGCGTATGTGCGCGCCCTGAGGCTTTGTGTACAACTCGTGCGTGTGTCTGTCGATTGGGTTTTGAGAAGCTTCACCCACGCCCGCTGTGCGTCTGTTTCTCCGCGTGTTAGTACGCGCCTGTGGGGTGCTGGGCCCGGGTGGGTCTTAATGGGTCTAGCTTAAATCTTAGCAGTATTGGTGTGTGTGTGTGTGGTGTGTGTGTGTGACCAGCTCTACCCCTTTCTGGGTGTACCAGCGTGGTCCGCGGATCTGTGGGTCACACCGCGTGGCTTCCCATGTCTGTGGGTGCAGGGTGTGGAAATGGCCCCAGGGGGTGTGAGTGTAGAACTGGGGTGTACCTTTCAGGTCCTGTTGGACTGCAGATGAAATTGGAGTGTAACTGGTACAGTTGCTGGGTGTGAGCAGTGGACCCCAGCGTCTTTGTCAGTTTGTTTCTGCTTATGTTTTGGGTAATTAACTGGGCATGCCTTGTGTAACTGGGTATCTCTGAACCTGTGTGTGAGAGAAATGGTAACTCTGGGTGAGAGGGAAGTTCCTTTTTCTCCACCCTCTTCCTAACTCTGGCATCCTAAGGAAAAAGTTTTGTGTTGCTGCTGGTGAAAAAGAGCTCTGCTCCCAGAATTTGGGTGTCCTGGGTTTTCTCGGGGATACAGAGGCATCAATGTGCCAGGCTGGGAAGGTGGTTCCTGGGCCACTCCAGGGGTTGAGTTCTCTGAATGGTGCTGAAGACCCTAGGGTGGGGTAAGGGGTGACATCTGGACACCCACTGGGCAGGAGCAGTCGCTGCCAGTCCCTGTTTGTGGCTGGGCACTCAGGGAAATGCTTTGGTGCTAAGAGTAAAAAGGCCAAACAGCTTCCCTCTCCTCTGGGTTTCCTGGGAATGGGAGCAGTCTGAGTAGGGCCTGGCCTTGAATAGGCCTCCCAGACCCCATGTGTGGGAGGGATTGCCAGCCTGGGCAGGTTGCCAAGCCATTCCTGGGGGGTGGCTGTGTTCTAAGCCCTGTGCAAGGGGCTGGGGACACAGAGGGAATTTAGACATATCCCTGTCCTCAAGGTACTCATCCTGGCTGTTAAACAGTGGGATAAACTAGGGAGTCTAGAATGACAGCTGGAAGAGCCAGAAAGGGAGGGCGGAATGATGCCATTGGTACAAGAGTGTGTGGGTTTGCAGGTTTGTAGGTGATAACAGTTCTTAGGGATGTGAGGTCAGCTCCAGGCCCCCACAGCATGCCATGGGATCTCAGCCACCTTTTATCAACTGGAGATAGTAGTTCTTGCTTGTGGGGCCGGTGAGGGTTATACGACATACTCCCAAGGGAAGTGCCCACTGTAGGGCTCTACAGGGAGTGTAGGTGCTCAGTAAACATTTGTTAAATTGAAACTCAGGAGAGAGGGATGTGGTGATAGAAATGGGTTGTAAGTGGAAACAGGCTTTGTACTCAGATGAAAGGCCCTGTGTGTGTTAAGAGGAGGTGTTCAATGCAAGTCCATGTTGGAAAAAAGATCAGAAAGAT